TACGGCCTGCTCTGTTCACTCCCCCGCACCGACACACATACACACATGCAATCTGAGTCTTGTCCTGGTCCACCTTGGCCTTTCCGCAACTCAGGAATCGGTGAAAGTCTTATGGTTGGTATAGCTAAACAGAAGAACCAAGTACAGAAGGAAGGATAACGTTCCTGCTGCTGTCCCTTTTTAAGCAGCAGCCGTACTCAAAGGCAGCAGCAGTAGCTGCTTCTTTAGAGGACGCTACCTAAAGAAGGTCCCCTCATCCTCTGCTGCGCCGAGATAGAGCTATATCGGCTACGTTACGAGGTGTGACACTGTTAGCTTTACCTCTACGCCGCTGACCCGCATAACCACATACTACACGTAGTCATTGGTTTGTAATTATTGACCGTTGTATTCGCAATTTGATTGGTGGTTTTTGTTTCTGCCTCCCTTTACGTGTCTACGTGTTCATGCCCTATAGGTCATGGATTGCAACATTAACGAGAAAAGTCAAAAAAAACCGTCGACTGCGCTATTAGTTCGGTTAATTTTCGGATAAAGCTGTCACAATGACTAACGTCTCTCAGCGAGTCGACATTATCTGTTCAGTGGTTTCTATTATAGCGGACGGCACATACGAGGGTCATTCGGGCGGTCTGGCTAACTGACCGATTGCCTAAAACCCTCTTCGACAGTGCAGCAATGTGGAGGGTAGGTAAATAGGCTGGAGGGTAAGTTGTGGTTCCTCTTTCCCGTTTGTTCAGTTCCTTCATTTGGGCTACGCAGGGTACGGGGTGCACCGGTAGTCGCCTGACAGCGGTGATGGCGGCGACAAGTGTAGTGCTGGCAGAGGAGGATTGGTTGAGGCAGATTGTGGATGTATGCCTGCGAGTGGCCTGCGGAAGTACTTATTAGCTCTGGTCTTCTTCTTCTTCTTCTAGTGGCCTCTTTCATTCGGCTAAAGAGATGCGGTAACAACTCCCTCGTAGCCCCCTTCACTCTAGCCCTCGTTCGGTTCGTGGTCTCTATCCGGCATTCTCACCGTCTTGCCTAACTTCGTAACGTTATACCAGTAGCTGCAGCAACAGCAGCCAAACCCCAAAGTTCCATGATTCCCGCCAGCGACGGGGTAAGGCACAACGAACGAATGAGGAGACTGCTGCAATTCGGCCTGCTACAGCTTCGCTCGACGGCCCATTCTGCGCAGACCTGACTGTGGCCTGCGCAGTTACTGCAGTAAAACTAGTAGAAGCGGTAATCGCGGTAGAAGCAGTAGCGGCGGCGGCACGAACGCCACCATTATGACGGGCCGCTACCGACGCCAATAGTTGTCCGAGCAGGATGGTCCTTTTCCGCGGTGATGGCAGCCAAAGAGTCGTTATCATTTAGTTCTCAGGAATGGATGGCGAGCCGCGAGAAGTGGGAAATGCTACCAGCTGCCATCATTCCGCAAAGCCCGTTATTGCGGCAACGCGCGATCCTCAACCTAGCAGAGGAAGAGGGGAGGAACAAGGTCTGTTCGACCGCTAGCCGGAAGGGCAAACCAAAGTTGTGTCCTTTTGTAAACCCTAGTAAGGTGTCGGTGGTGTACAGATAACGGGGTTTGGCGTACCGTAAAGCTACAGGGGACTGCTGCTGACATAGGTGAATTTGAGCACGCTTTGTTAGGGGTTATAAGCTATATTCGTCTATTTTAATGAAACTTAAGATTGTTCGCACTCCCAACGATGCCGAGACTATTTTATGCTGGTTAAGCAAACCAAAAATGCTCTATAAACGAATACGTGTTTGATGTATAATACTTTTCGAATAGATACATATTCACTAAGCTACACCAAATAAAATCTATTATTAATAAGCCATTTAATTCAATGTAATAATTAACAAGAATTTATAGTATATGTACAATAAACTATAGCATTTGCAGAAGCCGCGAAACTACGTAGTTTTAAATGATCCGACATTCTAAAACCTCAAAAAAGTCGTGAACAGCGAAACTAACGATCACTCGCGCTTGTTTCCCTGTTTTTCTTTGTATACAGGGAGAATTGACGTGTATATATATATGTATATATTCTGTGAAAGTGTCGTGTGCGCCACAGTCTTTGTCTTTCAACAAAGCTGCTGCCCCTAGAGGTGTCGATACTAACCCTGTTACCGAGTTTCGCCCGGGGGGCTCGGCACTAAGAAGAGTACACATACTGCACCCATGAAGTATACGCGACCAGGCAAACGCACACACCTCAGCAATTGCAGTAGAGGCAGAAAATATACAAAAGTATTAAAAGAATTGCAACAAAAATGAAGACAGTTGCCTAATAGTCTATCTCTTGCAAGACAATGAATGAGTCCTGCTAGCAATCCGTTGCTTTTTGCTACTTCGTCTGTATTGATGTCACTTTTGCCAAATCTATAACCGCTGCTGGCGCCATAACGACGAATACAGCAGCTGCGATATTGGACCGTGACCAACTACCATCGCCACCGGCAATAGCGGCGGCCCTGTTTAAATTAAACTGCATTTACCTTTCCTTAACGAGGAGCTCGAGGCTAAGGAGAGGAGCACCACAGAGGGAAATCTGCACCTAAGTTCATATGTGCTGAAGTACGCAGCCGCATATCTGGATAAGCTTCAATGTGATTGAAAGTAGGGCGGGCTTCCCCGTCATCGCTTGTGAGACGGCGATATCTGCAGGCTGCCTCTAGTTAACGGCCGCCATTTTCGTTTCTTCTGACTACTCCTCCTGTCTCCCTGTCCTCGTCTCTCGTCCTCCCACCCAGCATTTCATTTCCATCGGCGCTCATACTGTATCCGATACATAAACCTGAATGGAAGGCCTCATACGAAAAAATCGCGCTCTGAACGAAAGAAGGACGCTTTTTGCTCATAATTGCAGGAGACACATGGTACGTAATTGATACTTTTGTGTAGCCACCCCCGCTGCCTCAGCCCCATGAAGCGGCGCAAGCACTCGGGTAGGGCGAAGGGTATTTTCGTCTCCCATCGTCGAATTACATCGTAGCCTGTAGTGACGACTGGTTGTTGCAGCCGTTACTCGTCTTCTATTCAGAACTCTGCAATCAGCTTATGTATCTATGGATGTCATAGCCGTGACAGGCTTACCGTATGTAGCGCATAGATACAGGACGGCAAAACCAGCTCTGATTGCCGTCGCGACCTCATTCCCTCACTTGCTTAAGACTACTGGTGGCGACTGTAGGCAATGAGATCTGAAGCAAGAACGGTGCTCGTTTTAAAACACGTCTTGAGATGTCTTATGCCTGAGAGAAGAATACCTCCACCGACGAAGTTAAGGAAAGCAGACTTATTTGAATGGTTCAAGGGTTCGAGAAGTTAGCAGCAAGATTGGCGGCAACGTTAGGTCGGTGTATGATCAGAGAACGGTCCATATCTTCCGTAAGCTTTCAGTGAGACTTTTGAAGATCGACTCCATATTAATTTTTCATGTTTTCATGGACAGCCTTTATATATGTGGAGGACTATATGCGCAGTGATTCGTCGATCATTTCGTCAGGCCAAGCCTCAGGCCAAAGCGTGTCGTAAATATACGAAGACAGACAATGGCGATAACGTTTACTTGATCTGTATGATCCGTTCGATTGCCGCTACTGCTGCTGCCGCCGTCATTTCGATTAGATTCAATCCAGCGGGCTATTGGGATTAGAGACAGATGATGGTGCTGCGTCTGGTTAAGTCAAGAAAATTGATTGAAATGTACGCTTTGAATGCTTACGGCCACTACCCAGTTCACAGGCAACAGTGACAACAACCACTACTACTCACTCCTGTTGCGGCCGTTATCATTTTTGGGTTCTTAATTTGTCCTTTTAGAGAACCAAAAGTCCATTTAGAGAAATAGCGGCATCGGTAATAGTAGAAGGACTATCCATCCGTAGGCCACTGCTAAAACAGCCGAAAGAAAAACACGAAGATGCAGAGTTAGTTCCTTACTACTCAAAAGAAAATGAAAAATATTAGAACAAAGCACAGGTGGTACTGCCAGCATGCAAGAGGCATCAAATAATTGCATATATTAGGGGTGGTGAGGGGAGCGTCGAAACGCTTCAGTTTACTCACTCCACAGCCCAAGGGGGTACATACAAAGATAAAACAAAACAGTAATATAACAGACCCACACTACGAGCGATAACTGATTAGCTACTAAATTGATCATAATAATACAAGATAATAATCATAGTACATAATACAATACGTACAGACGTACATGATCGTGCAAGCCGACAGCACGACAAAAGAAACAAAGCGCCGGTTACGAGCGTGATCCAGCGACCCCTCTGCTCTAGTTTACGAAATACCGACCAATCATAAACACAATATATATCTATATATGTGTCTGTGTTAAACCCAGAGATGGCAGTGGTGATAATGGTGAAAATAATATTACTAATAATAATGAGAGTCTAATAACGGGGGTAAGAAAGAGAAATTTGTGAGGTGCGGAGGGGAATGGGGCAAGTAAGCAAGAGCATGGTCATCATCATAAACGGCAGTATCACCTTTTGACCTCTCTGTCCCTTTGTCTGCTGTTTCGGCTGGCGAGTGAGTGACTAGCTTTCTGTTATTGCTCGTTCATACTTTGTTGGTCGGTGCGCTTCATTGATTGCTTGAGAAAGCAGAGTAGGAGGTTGAAGCACTTTGTGGGGCGCCATAACAATCCGTACGGGGCCCCGCCATTCGTCTTCATTGAGGACTCCATTTCAATTTCTAAGCGAATCATGTCCAAGTGTAACCGGGGCAACCTTATTTATGTTGTAAATTGCACTATCGTTCGTTGTTTTGGCTTTCCAATTTTTATTACTGGTTACCTAATACTTCACGCTAATTTTTCTGTCCGAAGTCTATTTGCACGTCCTATTTCAGTGGACCCACTTTTTACAAAAAAAATGGTGTTGCTCAGTAGAAAATTTTTCTGCTGCACGCATCGTTTGCTGAATTGAGCTCTCTAGATCATATCTCGTTGTCACGCAACGAAGGATAGATCGGTACGAACGCTGACATCTCTGGCTGTTTCTATCCTAAACAAAAAAACAAGCACCACGATCCAAAACGGCAATAAAAGAACTGCTCATTATTATTGTTTACTTGCCTTCCGGTGCGTTTGTCTGTCTAAACGGGGCTTCTGCGCAACGGTAGGCTTTACATTGCCGCCAAAAGGTAGAAAAGAGCAGATTTCTTACGCCAACACCGAGCGCTACATGTCCAAATGACAAGGAGAAAGAAATATCTATATACATGTATACATGACCAGCGGTGCAGTAGCTCCTTAAACTGAAGCCGATCCCACAGCCGCGATTGCTGTTGAAGTATACCAAGTAATTCAATAATAATAGTACCAGTCGAGGTAGCAGCCCTAGCTGCTACGCGGTTATGCCATGCTGATGATTCCGCTGTTCATGAAGTTTTGAAATTTTGACATATCTCTATCTTTTTTTTGTCGTCGAAACGCTCACAGACAAGTACACTTTCAACCAGCCCGCGTTCGCTGCTCACTCTACTAAGCTGCGTTCGTCATAGTTTGGTCCTTCTTCATCGGTACCGGGCAGTGCTATGGCTGGCAGTTGCAGAAGCAGATTTAGCTCTGATCAGCTAGCTCTTGCTGTTAAAACGGTAGGCAGCACCAGTTATCGTCAGGCACTATCAGCAGACGGGGACAGGGGGAGACTGTGACGACGACGGGAGAAGCATAAGCGGGAGCCGCTGCCATGACAAGCAGACGACCGAACGTGAATCAGACTGCTTCAAAAGCCTTCGAAGGGGTTGCTGCTGCTGTTATTGCTGATACACAAAAAAAGATAGATAGCGAGCGGAGGTGCCAGGCAGTTGTTGGTATTGCAGCAGTGGGTGCACTGAACGAAGCGAACAGCAGACCAACCATAATAAAAGCCAGTTCACCCAATAGTTGCAAGCTTCTCGCAGCGCTATTGACATTATAACTGTTATTAATTCTTAAATAGATCATCGGTATATTGATATATCGTTTATGATATCGGTTTCTTATATATTTTGAAAAAAAATATACATATATTTCGTATGTTTTTATTTTCTTGTCTCAGCAACAATATCCGCAGCGGCTAAATGACTCCGTGAAAAATCGTCTGTTCGCTCCATTGATAACTGGCCTGTTTTGCGGTCGGCCAGGACAAAATGAAATAGTTTCTAAATGTAAGGGGGAACGAAAATACTGTGTTGGCGCTTTTTCTTTCTTCTCTGGACCCCTGCAGATCTGATCTCAAAACTGTCGAATCTCAAAGAGAACGTCAAAGTGTCGTGGTCCTGCAAAGGCGCACTTGGTCCTCAAAATGCTAAAAAGTGAATCCGCGAACGCTGAATACCTGAATATAGGCCTTTTCTGCCTGTCGGCCGATATCCGATACCATAACGGCTAAATGAGCTGTCACAATTCTAGTTAGGCAATGTCCTAGCAGCAGCATATGGTCTAACTGGGTGCGACTGATGGCTTCCTCTCTCTAGGGGAGTTTGATAAGAATGGCGGAACAATGCTGTGAAGATTGTATTCTTGTTATTGAATCTAGAAAACAGAGGATAGGTCAAATTTCTTTCTCATACAACTTTTGTCATTTTTTTAATGACAGATAACGCATACGTATCATGGAAAAATCGTTGCTCTTTAGCAACGACTTTTTTCATGTCTTAACAATATACCAAAAAGCACCGCCCGTAAGCAAAAAGCCATTGCCATCCTTCGTCCTATGAAGTTTTGCTCTACGTCTATGAATTATGTTTATTATAATCGACACACACGTGTCTATTGTATTCTTTATGATTGATTTAAAAACCAACTCAGTGTTTGGGCTTGTATTACTTGTCATTATCGACCATGTGCTAAAAGCCAGCTAATTTGACAGTATAATTCTATATTACGTTACCAATACCGATACAAACGCAGCCGCGCGTTCCAAAGGAGCAAAAAAACAATGCCATGATGTTTGGCAACGACACTGGATCTGAGCTTGCGACGATGTCCTTCTTACGGTGCTTTGACGCTGTCTGCCTGCCTATTATAGTTTCCCCACTACATCGTACAGGGCTTCATGAAATGTTCTTCCCCGAACGCCGTAAACATGAACTGACTGGCTCTACCTCTTCCGTAAGTACCCCCGAATCTTTTGAACCTAAAATCCTTCTCCAGCTGCTGCCTTTATTTTCGCTCTCTGTCTCCCTTCTGTATCTGTTCTCCAGAAGCCGGTGCGGTCCCAGCCGTCGTAGATATCCTGACGGCCGTTGCTGTCGACTCCTGGACAGCTCCTGATATCTTGGCGGAACGTGTCCCATCTTCTTCTTTCCAAGCTTTCCCGTTTTCCTAGGCTGGCGTTCCTCCTTCCTCCTCCTTTTCGCTGCGGTCCTGATTTGAAAGCCACGAGCCATTGTTGGTTGTATATCGGTCAGTAGATCTTGAGCAAAAGAAAGAGCAAAAGATTGTGTCTGTGAGGTCTTGTGAGTCTGAGTGCAAGGGGAGAAACCCAAAGGAAAATGGACGTTGCTGCATAGTACTATTGGTAGCAGCGGTGGTAGTAGCGTTAGTGGTAGCAGGGACAAACGAATGGAAAGCCGGCCGGTCCGCACTGTTCATAGACGATCCCGCAATCTCGACGGGCACCCGTCGACAGACCCGCCCGCCCATGCTCACACGCATACAGACTCCCAAACAGATATCCATACACAGACACATTATAGATCTCCCAGCTGTATTTATTCCTCTCGTAGAATCCTGCAGAGTGGTAGTAACAGGAGAAAGAGACGAGGTCAGGGGAGGCAAAGCAAGCCGCCGCTGCGGCAGCGGCTGTTTTAAATTCATGCAGATCTCGTCCGCAATCTCTGCTACGGCTTCTTTTTGCCACCAGTCGTCGGCCGGCCGGCCGGTCGGTCGGTCGCTCGATGCGTACTTGAATGGTAGTAGCCAGCCCGACTACTACCCGCGCCCGTCGCCAGACCTCGAAATAGCTGCGGAGCTCGGTGGAAAAGAAACTTCCACCGAGAAGCTCATTGACGTTGGTCCTGTCTCTTTGATCGTGGGTCTTCCGCCTTCTCTTTTTTGTTCCCCTGGTTTTGCCTTCTCGTCGCGTCGACCTTCTCTTGCGTCGCTTGAGCGTCGCATGGCTGCGGCGTTCGCGCGGTGGCAGCAACAGCGACGAGCTAGCCAGTAAGCCGTCGATATCGTCCAAAGAATGAGTGAGAGTGAGTGAAGTTGGGTGGAGTCATAGCGTTGAGCCGAGTGTTGAGTCATACATCTTCCTACTGCACACGGCTAGATGGATATCCACAAGCGAGCTCAGACAGAACAGACAACTACCGCTGTTGTTGTTGTTGCTGTTGTTGGTGGTGATTGTGGCGATAGTGAAATAGCACACTGAGTCGAGACTGGTGAGTTCAGACGACATTAACAGTACACAGCGATGTATATAGCAATGGTACAGTGGCTGGTATAGTTCAACCCTAAAATGCACACTCTTTTGAAACACAGCAAAGTCTTGAAGAAAAGGTCAACACTTTATAGTTGAATGGGGATGAGGGGTAAACGTGAGTAAATAATACGGACGGACACACATGTCCATCCCGATTCATCATAGCGACGGCTACCATTATCCTATCGGGGACATTGTTGATTGCGAGGAACAACACCTGTTTCGAGCTCAAACAACATTGCTGCTCTACTGATCACGGAAAATCCACCACTAAATAGAATTTCATATAGTTTCATATATACCAGAAGAGTAGGAGTTTTTTAAAACAAAATTACAGACTTACAAGTAGCTTCCACACGGCTAACGAGGAATCCTTGACGCAAGGCATTAATGATTTGTTATAGGAGTCGAAAAGTCATGAAAATAGTGTATGAGACCTACTGATGATCATGAAGTGTTGATGCAGAAATTAACGATAGTTTGCCAAAGGAGAGCATTTATTGCCAATCGGGTCCCTAGATCCTACTGGCAAAGTAAATTTGAAATCCGCTGTGCCTTTTCACGTCCGGCGTGTTTCAGCAATTTTTTTAGCACAGCTACGTATATCAGTGTTCTTTGTGTGACGATCATCATTAGGAAGTAATCTGCAATTTTAAAGAAAAGGGTTTTAATGGTGACTTGCAACCGGCTTAGTCCTCCCGTTGCTTGAAGCTGGGAAAGAAGCCAATGACAGTAGCATTAAGTAAATCAATTCATAAGAAATACTCCTGGCGGCCTATGTTGACGCGGGTAAAGCAGGTCGGACGTTTCAATTTATCGAAATATGTATGGACTTTAAAAACCAAGTCTTTGGTTATAGTTACGAAACTAACGGCGCTACGCCCTTTTTTTTTCATAGATCTTTTCAAATAACCCCGAATGTATTGAAAACAACGCAACCTAATTATAACGAACTCAGAAAATAACTAGCCAAATCAACAAATATCTTAACGTTTTATCATGAAAACCCCCTGTTTATACTTCTTTGCATTCATTAACTATTTTAATGAGGGTGTATATGTATGATCATCCTTTAACGTGGACCGCACACCTAACGAGGCATATTGCTTCCTCTAAGGCCTTGTGCATTCGAAGTGTTTTCATTGCCTTATCCTTGCATCAGCATCGGATGTGTGTGCATTGGACCAAATCCGAAAGGAAAAACACTTCGGAAAATCAGAGTTTCATCCAGCCTAAATTGAACTCGTCAATAACAGTGCCTCTAGATGATGACCGATGCCCAAATAGATAGTGAAGACTGTTACCTCAATTTTGTCCCAGGTCGTTCTGAGCAAGCTATATGTACACACAATGGTAATATCAGTTGGACTTGTTGGCAGTCAGCAACGAAATGTTAACGAAGATGTGAACGAAATTAGCACACAGAAAACACAGCAACGTTGATCTGAAATATTTTCGTCAACTTAGCTGTACTTTAACTTTTGACAGAAGTTTAACAAAAACATATGCACTAGTTCGCTCGCACAGTTTGGTGCACACGTTCTGTGATTGACGCTGACTTCATAGTAATAATTGAGAACACTTAAGTATTCTAGCGTTGCAAGCCTTTTTTAGCTAAAGGCCCTGTATCGATCCTTGCTTGTAGCAGTTACCATACATAAGCCCTCACATGTCTGGATAGGCCATAAAGTCTCCTTTTGGCCTGGCGTCACAACACAACAGCCAATGAACCAGAAGCGGTACAGAATGCGCCATGGGTGTACCGTGTACCGCCCATCTCTGTGTAAGTGAGCATGTCAATATAAACACTATCTGAGGGCGTGTATTTTTCAGACGTGCATACATATATGAACACAATAGGTGATAACTCCATTTCAATGCCATCAACACCAAACTGACGAATAAAATCGAAGCAATCCGACAGTAGTTGTACAGCAGGGCTTCACGTGCATCGTCTTCATGTATTTTTTCTCTTCTGTCTCATCTTAAACTCCAGGCTTCTAGTTGCTGAAGCTGATTACCTCGTCCTCGTGTGTTGAAAATATCTTGATAGTGTCTTCAGGCGAGTACGACCTTGTCGCTTGTTGATGTCAGGGGGCGGGGCCGTAACAGCAGCACCAACAACGAGGCTAGTTACTGCCATTGCTCCGAAGTGTCGTGACTTCACCGAGGAGCCTAATCGTTGCCGAACTTCACTGCATTCTCTCCCTCGTTTGGCCTATAGGATGGGCCTATTGTTCCCGAACTACTACGGACAGTACAAACTCTTACTATAGGGGTGCAAAAAGAGTTGCAATTGCAAATTGTACAATAAGCCGAAAAAGGCCTAAGCGCGTAGGACAGCCCGCATGCACGATAACGCGCCGGCCATAACATCAGGCTAACTTGACGAAGTGAAATAGGAAAGAGCGCAATAATTTTGGTAACTGGTTTCGCCAACCGTTTGTTACATTACCTTTCATTCTAAACAGCGCGATAGTTATCAAACAAATTTGTCAAATCGAGATATTGTTATGCTAGGTGTTACCCAGCAGTTATTTACTCAGAAATACACGTATGCAGGTAATGTAAATGCTCGTTGCACACACACATATACATGTGCATATGCGTATACTGCTTGTACCGGCGTTCACTGACGTTGGCTGCTGAGACGTGTCGCTGTTACAAAGGATGATAATAGTTGATATGTTGTTCGGTGTCAGCGATCCTGTCTGTGACGGGAGCAGCAGCTAGAATAGGAACGCCCCTTTTGAGTTAGCAGTGCGTTCGATGTACCGTTGGCGAGCGAGAACAGACCTACCGCTTTAATCTTCTTCTCCAGTGAGGACGATGGGTTGTTGTTCACGAGAATCCTGCGGCTCTCGGTTTCCTGATAGAGCTGTGCCCAGCAGGCTTGCTTCACCGTCGAACTTCTATGCGCTATCATCAACTGCTAATGTAACATATACGTATCTATATGTGTACAGCAGCACCAACGATCGGAAGCCATCCAGGCAGACGGCAAGCGAACATCTTGTGTTCCGAGAGCACCATGCTTGTTTTTTTATTCAATCACACTTGTCGTGCAATAAATATATATAGACGAGACGAGACGAATGATGATGTTACATCGTCGTTGTCGTGGGTGGGAACCCGGTAGGGCGGTGCAGTCGGCACACAGCGTATGTACAGATAATAGATTCACTCACCGTGGGACACTTCATGGGACCTAGAGTACAAGAAGGAGACGAAGAGCTGGGAGACATCTTACTATCCATGTATCTGTCTGTTGTGGGCTGAACCTCTCCCCGAACAACTCAATAGAACGATCATGTCACTGATGATCGTGTATTTGCGATACGAATAAGGCCACTGGTGGTGACGATGGATGGATGGATAGGAGGCAGAAATAAATGTGCGACTATTAATTTCGTTAGTTACAAATGCATAATGAAGGCAAAACGTCGACATGGATTCCCAGAAGCACACATTTGCAAAACACTGAAAAAATTACATAAGTTTATAGAACAGCTCCTATTTAGGCTCTGCGAAGTACGCTAGTGATCTGCTTAGAATGCCTGCTAGACATTTATTTTTTCTGGTTGCATTTCTGTGACTCGCGATCTCAATCGGGATTGGAGTGGCTTGCTTGGCGATGACTTGTTAGCTTGTGGTGATCGTAGAAGACGTATGAAGCAATGCCTGATGCCAGAACTAGAGTAGCTATAACATCATCGGCAGTCTCCTAGACGAGCAGCCACACAATTCCGATAGCCACGAGTCAACATGTATGTCGTACATGAATCGTCCCCCCTCGCTCATGCTAGATACAGACAGGAACAGACTAAATCCGCCATAGGCTGATCTGCGAAATGGTACAAGACTGCTTCCTTTCTGAGTCTTGCACGACTGCAAATAAAGTTACCCTTCGCTTTATTATAGGTAAGGTCTATGACAAGTCAACTCTGACCCGACGGACTATTTGTTGTACGGCGTATTTGGTTAGCAATAATCGTTCGATGGCGGTTCAGGATGCCGATGGTGAACTTAAGTCTGATTAAATTATAATCGCAATGGGGTGCATTTGGTGCTTATGGGCTAAAAGGAAAGTTTACTGAGACCTGTTGCCCATTTTGGTTTCCACCGCTGTGGGAACGGATTCGATGCTCCACCAAAGACGAATAGATTTCATTCACTAGCATAAGCTCGAGTAAAAGAAGAACTTACTATTCCCATCTTTTTTTTGTTTGTTATGTTTACGCCGCACAAATGTTTGGACTGACCAGTTGCTGCTGTGGTAAGTTCAACCTGCAGCGGGCGGCAAAATTAGCATACTGACGATCTGCTTCAACATTACTTTTATTTAATAATAATTATTATTAACAGGCCTTTCTTCTTTATCTGCTCCAGAACCATATAGTCACTGCTGGCTAAAGCAGAACGAAACAGAAACTAATAGAATTTAATATATTCCGATGATAAATAGGTGTTCTGACTTTATCTGTCGTTCTGCGAAAGCTTCGGAACGGTTCGAAGGATTCATGCTGGGTCAAAAGGCTAACTACTGCCACCAGGTGGCGCAACGCGTCCGTTTATTGTTGCGTTTATATAACAGGCTACAGTAGTATGCATACTAAATATATCTCTATCTGATAATGACGGAGCGCATGGTTCAACATTCAAATCAAATTATAGCATTTCGGCCTCGTCATCATCCAATGTATAAGCCTACAGCTTTGCGAAATGGGAACTGTCGTATAAATAGTCTAAATTCCAAGGTCTATCCCGTGTATAATTGCTACCGCTATCAGACATACGGTTTACTTCGTGACCTGAAATAATTTTAGCTTCTCTCTAAGTGTATCTTCAAGATAGGACCACTTGGGTCCTTATCAGTACAGCGGCTATGCATTGGGTTGCTTTAGTTGATCTACGCCTCTGCGACAATAGAAATGTCTCTTCTCCGGTCAGAATTAGTGT